GAGTGTCGAGGAGGTGGCATGAAACAAGAACGTTCCCACTTCCCAGGCTACGATGGTACAAACTCAATAATCCTAATATACACATTTCGTCTATGCCTCTTCATTAACCAAGTCGTGTAAGATCGGCCGTCGCTTCAGAATACCAGCCATATATCTACTCGTTCCGTTCTCAGCTTCTTCCTAGCTCGATTCTCTTCAAGAGAAACGTTCTCCTTGCCTCTAAATTCAACTTCAGCTTCATCATCCGCCGACATGATGGACATGGTGCGTCTTTGTCCACATCCTTTTCAGTGTCACGATGATGGAGTGTCTTGTGAGGTGGATTGACCGGAGTAGCGGAGAGAAGGAAGTGCGAATGATTTGGTGGTTGGCTATTTTCTTTGGTTTCTTCTTACGATACCAAGACTCTTCATGTCGTGGGTCCTGGCTTCTGGGCTTAAGACCTCTTGGTCGACCAAAGCGCGTTTAACAATTAGTAGGCGATTAGCATTGTAGTAGCGCAAATGACAATTTAGTTCGTCATGCAGGAGATGAACCAGGTTTGTTATCGTTGAAGGAATGCGCCGAAAATATAATTATTTATATCACAAGCCAGATGCGACTCTACGCAAATGCTCGCCCTGCATGTTTCTGTCCGTTAACCAGGAGCGGAAACCCAACGAAACCACGCGTAATGCGAAATCATGTCAGCAAAAGGAGTGTCAGCCCAGATCACAATGTGGTCAGCCACCGTATATATGGTCACCGCTAACCCCAATTCCAGCTCTTCACCTAAACCGCTACCCCCCATCTGCGATATCTCAATCCTTGCTTTACAAACACAGTTGCAACGATGAACACCATTATTATCCACCCTTTTAACCGCGTAAAAAGCACCCCCATGCATGACATGTCCGCTGCCCTCATTGCCCCTGTTTCCAAATGGTACCGCAAGCCGACTCCCTGGTGGATTGACGGCTTGAAGAGGTGCGTCTTCAGCCTATTGTGGAGTCTGATGAGGTTGCAGAAGAGGAAGAAAACGTGATTGAAGAAGACGTGGACGAGAATGAACAAACTGAGGATGTCGCCCTCGCCGATGTGATGCCTACAGCTGGCGATTATACGCAATTAGACGTTGCATTCGAAAACCAAGGCGACGAGGAAGGTGAGCAGAATAGTCTTGATGAATCTGACGTTTTCCAGGTTATGGCACTTGAAGGTACGCCTCGCTGTTATTCTATGACGTTGACGTTCACGACGGGCACGGTCTAGATACTGTTCTTGAAGTTCTGCCTGGAATCGATCGAGATCAGAAAGAGGACGCGATCCTCGTCGACGACGGTAATTTTGACATTGATAACCGCGTTTACAAAGTTAACATCATGTAAAGTTTCTCTTGACGACGATGACGACAATGAATCCGAGGGTAATGACACCTTAGTTGGTGACATTTTCACCGGTGAAGGTACGTTGGATTCCTGCTAGTTCAAGAACTCTGCACAAAGAAGCTACACATCTTAGGTTCCATGATCATTTTGGAAGTCGAAACCGTTGACGATTATGAATGGGACGAGGAGGCAATGTTGAACGTCATCATTGTCGAGGTGGATCCTGAAAACGATCGAGATGAATGCACGACGAACTGGTCAACGACATCACCCACTCCAGTTGCACCGCAAATACGAAGTCGCCCCGGAACACCAGGAGCGGAGGGGCCAGGCCCTGGCAAGCCTGGTGCCGAAACTCGCTGGGTGACAACGTGCACCGCGTGCCAGTGGTGGGCTGGATCGCGTGACGGGAGCGGATATGACCCTGGCAAGGCATATCTTAAACTTTCCGATGGTCTAGCGGTGAAGGTGGCTGGTGGTGTTGGCTACCCACTGGCTACCGTTGTTGTAGAGACCTCGCGTGAGTACTTCTTTTTAATGGCGAGGCTAACTTGTGTTGTGTTTCCTTCGAGACTTCTGCCTGGCGACATCTTATTGCTTGTGCTCGTGCTCGTGCCTCCGTTGTCTGACTTTCTGGCGACAACTCTGCTACTCGTGCCTGGACTACTCTGGTCTTCTGAATCTCTGGGAACTGGCTTCTGGCGACGTGGTCTCAGTCTCCGTGGTTTCCTAGACCTGGGCTTGTTTCTTTCTAGTCTATTTCCTGCCTATACGTCTTCTTCTAGGTCTCCTTGGCACTGGTGACTGGCGATCGGCGGCGATAAGTGAGTTGCTCGTTATGATTATTTTGTTGTCCACTTGTTCGCGTGGTACTGCTGACGCTTAGAGCTTTGGAGTTCGCAATCCTAGAGCCATGTTGGCAATGTTTTCCCCCAAACCTGCTACCGCCCATTCTTCCCCGCACCCCGCTAATTCGGGTTTGCGCCATGACTCGAGGTCCTCTTTTGGCGAGTGATATTCTCAGTGTCCTCATCTGATGTCCATATCATAGATCGGCTATGCCCCGTTTGTCGCCATAACCTATAGCTCGCTGGGTCGGAGGGGTTGCGCTCTCGTCAAGCCATCGCCGAAAGCCTTACTGCGATGCTGCATAACCGGGAGTAGAGGGTGCGAACCCTGACCAAGTTCGTCGCTACTCGCTCCTCGGTGTGGCCGAGACAAATGTCCTTTGCACTCCGTTTCGGAGAAGGTCAATTTAAGCTTCATTTCGGTAATTATTCGCTTCTGATGATCCTTCTCCAGTTCGTTGTAAATACAACAACGAGGAAACGATCCCAAGTCTCCCTCCGGGAAATTTTGGCACCCAAAAAAAAACGAAAAACACGCTGGCGTATTTTTCCGTTTTATCTCTGCATTCTTGATTCATATGATTTCTTTCACGGGCTCTAGGCGAGAAAATTCTCGAAATACCCATATCTAGTCCCAAAAACGAAAAAAAAGTCAAAATTCCGTAAAACCCTCTCAAAAAAAATTGAAAAAGCCAAAAAAAAAAAAAAAAAAAAACACCTTTTTTTTCCGTTTTCCGTTTTCCGTTTTCCGTTTTCCTTTCCAGGCTCTTATCTTCATTTCTTTATCGGGCGCTAGCGAGACGATCCTCAAAATACCCACATCTAGTACCAAAAACGAAAAAAAAGTCAAAATCCCATAAAACCCTCCCAAAAAAGTCACCTTTTTTCCGTTTTCTGTTTTTCTTTTTCTTTCCAGGCTCTTATCTTCATTTCTTTATCGGGCGCTAGCGAGACGATCCTCAAAATACCCACATCTAGTACCAAAAACGAAAAAAAAAGTCAAAATCCCATAAAACCCTCCCAAAAAAGTCACCTTTTTCCGTTTTCCGTTTTTCTTTTGCTTTCTGGGCTCTTATCTTCATTTCTTTATCGGGCACTAGCGAGGCAATCCTCAAAATACCCACATCTAGTCCCAAAAGCAAGAAAAAAAAGTTAAAACTCGTAAACAAAAAAAAGAGGTGTTCGTTCTCGCTTCCCTATTTCTGTTCGCCTTCTCCATGTTTGGCGTGACTGAACTTTATAGATTTCTTTTACGGGCGAACGTCAAATCTGCGCGGGCGACGGCGAGGCATCGAATCACTTCCGAAAGCAGGAGCGATAATAGAGCAATGGCGGATGATGGAAATAGAGGAAGCCGGCAACTTCTCCGATTTTTCATCTCTTCGTTTCATCGCTCCTGACTGATTGCTATTAGATCCTGGTCATCGGCAACAGGGAACGGAGCGAAGTCATTCAAAGTCAGGCGGAAGTTTTACACGAGGGCTCGTCGATGACGGCAGTGCCACTCGCGCACCAGCAACGGTTGGTCGATTCCGGAGACTATCCTATCCATGATGATTTATGACTCTGCTAACTCTTCTAGGTCCCCGGTCATATATCACGGCGCGGCGATAGTAATTGCTCGGACACGTATCCTGGCCAGCTGCGTTGTCCGAGCGGGGATGATGGGAACCCGTCGAATGGGGGTCCTGGCCAGACTTGCTGTTCACGATTCCTTGACCCACGATTCCTCTTTTTTCTTTTCATCTTTCCTTCGGTTTCTTCTTTTGATACCTTTTACGATACTCGTAGGTAGTTCCCAGGGAAGGTTTGACCTCTTTTCCTCGTGCTTCCTTGCCGTGGGCCCTGGGCTTAGACCTTTCGGTCGACCAAAGCACGTTAAAAATAGAGGTGGTTGCTAGGATCACAGTTGATTTAGCCGAGGACGAAGACGCAAGAATTGGCGCGGCAACAAAGTGAGTTTTTCTTTGCCTGTCTTTATTATTGGTTTTTTTTAAGGATCGACACAGGCCCAGAGATGATTGATTACCTTGGAAGTGAATTGACGGGAGTAGCGGAGGCGAGAAGAGAGTCAGCATTACAGTTGATTTGGCCGAGGACGAAGACGCAAGAACTGACGCGGCAATAAAGTGAGTTTTTCTTTGCCTGTTTTTCTTATTGGCGTTCTTTTTTAAGCATCGACACAGGCGAGGGATAATTGATTGTCTTGGAAGTGGAATGACGGGAGTAGCAAAGGCGAGAAGAGAGTCAGAGCAGCGCAGAGGGAATCTGGTTGTTGGCAGAGGAAATGGAACCGAATGGAGCAGCGAAAGGGTGGGAGCTGGGGGTACGGGAATGGCTGGTCTCGCACAAGTCTAGCTTCAAAGTTACGTTGTGCAAATGTAAAGATAGCATACCACATACTTTTCTTTATCGATCAACGAGGGAGATACGTTTTGGGATGACTTTGGTTGCAACATCATCAACTTCAAAACAGTCTATAGTTGCCATAAATGACATGAGCCCAGCAACACGGGCATGTACGAAGGGATCCTTCAGGGCACGAACAAACGCTGGGACAAGGACCTTGGGTTTCGTGTTGTAGGACCCAATCGACCAATTAAGATGCACGTGTTAGTTCTGATTGAAGCTTCCGGGTCCATCTGCATCTTTGCTAGCAATCTCAATAAGTCATTATTGAGGATACGGTCATTCAGCTAGTTCAAATCTTTAGTGGTTTCATTTCAAAGTGATTCTTCCGCAGAGATAAAGAGCGCGTGAAATTGTACACGCCTCAGAAAAAATGTGACGAGAGTGGGATTCGAACCCACGCCCTTTACGGACCAGAATCAGTGGACATTGAATGTCCTGGTCCTTAATCTGGCGCCTTAGACCGCTCGGCCATCTCGCCTAGCAGAAACATATTTCTTTTCCTTTCAGCACAGGTACCACCGTAACGCACGAACTTCTTAGTTAATCGTAGCACCATACTACCCAAATCGTTTTCTCCTCCGCTCCATGTCTGACTCCTTCCGTCCCGTTGTCATTATCACCGGCGCAAATGGGTAATGTTCTCGGGTCATTCTTGAGCTTGGAACTGACTCAATTCCACATACAGCGGTGTGGGCTTCGGGATATCCAAACGATTATTGTTCCAACTATGCTCCAGGAGACCTAGTGACGCGGAGCCTCAGGCATTCGCTCCGACGCCTGTGGGCGAAGATACATCGCAATATGCCTCTTGCGACGGTATCACTCTCATCATGGCCTGTAGAAGCGTCAAACGTGCTGAAACTGCTAGATTGGAACTGCTAAAATCTCTGGACGCGCATGTAGCTGATTTAAAGACTCGACCGGGTTATGACGGTCATGCTGAATGCTTTCGGAAAAATGTGGACATTGTCGTGATGCGTCTTGACCTTGCGGATCTGAGCACCGTTTTCAGCTTTGCGAATGAGGCCATGTCCAGGTGCGTTTTATAGCCTTTTCGGTTTCGGTTTTCTGATGTTGCGTTGCAGATATCCCTATGTCTCTCACCTCATATGCAATGCAGGACTAGCCAGCTTCACCGGAATATGCTGGCCATTGGCCATTAAGTGTGTTCTCACAGGGCCTATGACCGCCGTCACCTCGCCTATATACTATACTCAAAACCAAGGCGAAGAAAGTGTAGATGGATTTGGATGGGTTTGGCAGTGCAATCTATTTGCTCACTTTGTCCTCGTATGTTTTAGTATATCGTTCCCCTTCAAACAATTCACAGTTCACGCAGTTCCGGGCACTCGAACCACTCTTGTCCAAATCGCCGTCGAGGTCCAGGGTTGTATGGACGTCCTCTTTAGAAGCTTCGCCAGCGCACTACAATCCAGAAGACTGGCAATGCAAAGCCACTTCGCACTCCTACGAAACCACGAAATATGAAATTGACTTGATTGGAACCTTCCTAGATAGACTGTCTTTACAAGATCCTACACGTAAACGACCTCGACACTTTGTTGCACAGCCTGGAGTGTGTTCGACGAGTATTAGCGATGCTTTAATTGGCCCTGTACTGAATCTAGTAAAGTTGTTTTTATTCTACGTTGTACGTGATGTGTTCAGTTCCTTCTATTATCCTGTTACTGAAGATGTGCCAGGCCCGCCTTTGCGGTTCTCCTCATCATACTATCACACCCTTCAAAGCTGCTATTTCAGTCGTGCACATTGCTCTTGCACCGCTTGTCTTCCTCACATTCCTGGAGGGTCCCTCAACCAGTTCGCATGGGGGCTCAGACAGATTTGCGGGGCAATGAATATGTGGGACTGACTCCAGTCAAAGAATGGAAGCGGTTCGAGATGGAGGCTGAATATTTATTAGCAAAGTGTAACGCTTTATATGAAAAAGTGAAGGACCGGACAAAATTAGTTACAGGGAACGAACAAGCTTCGTAGATACCCTCCATCTTATACCATCTTTGCGTAATTTTGTTGGTAGGACAGCTACATATCGTATTCGTCTTTCATAATTATTTTCAACTTCCAATTTTCTGTATCCTCGTCTGGTTCTTCGTCAGCCCAAGCAGTGTCCTCGTCCACTGTTCCATTCTGGTCTTGATTTGCTGCGTCGTCTACCCCATCAATATCAATCGGTTCGTCTTCCTCCTTCCGCTTTCGTGCCGCAATCACCTCGACATCTTCCTAATTTATTCCACATCGTTAAGTTAGAAACGAAGAGGAAAACTGAACTCACAATATCAAACTCGTCTTCCCTCTCGTCATAAATAATATTTTCGTCCACTTCTTCAAACCCTCCAGCAAATGCGCCCCATCGTTCTGGATGGGGGCAATGCCATATCAAGATATTGCCTTGATTCGTAGTTGAGGCGATAGACGACTTTTTGGGATGCCACTATGAATACTTGCATTAGCTCATCGAACCATAGATGCAGGTAAATCTAAAATTTATTCACATGCAAATGCATCAGAGGCTCCCTCCCACCGTCCAACGCGCTTGCAAACTGGCCCTCATTGGAGATATCCCAAATATAAATTTTGTGAGCAGCTGGATCGGCAGCACCTGATCGGGGTGGTTAGGGTCAAGGATCGACGACGGATGGAGAGGCAAGACGGACCTCCAGCAAGCCACTCTCCGTCAGGGCTATATGACATAGCATGCCAAGCCGTCTTGTTGATCGGATCGTTGAACCTCCGCGTCGGCTCAAGTTCCTGTTCTAGAAACTCGCGGCCTGGACTAGGGGAAGGATATGTTGGAAGATTGAATTGACGTAGTGTGCGATCGGACGAGTTGGTTACGAGCCGGCTAAGCAGAAAGCACTCGTCAGTACTTTGTATGGCATATGCAAGAGAACACACATGTTCACCGTCCTGACTTGGCGAAATCCAGCCCTTTGATGAGACCTGCCCCCGTTATCTTATGTCGTGCGATCATCTGAAGGATTCAGTAAGATGGGTGATGTGAGGATGATGAAGCTCACAATTTTTGTCCGAGTGTTGAATACGAGGATTGTGCCAGCTGACGTTCCGATAAAGACGTATTTGCCTGACGGGTCGAATCGTGCAACTGTCATCGCGGATCTTGTAAAAGTTAATGAAACTTCCATTGCATAAAGGGTGGCATAGATACCGTGATCGATTTGAATGCCCCTCATCATCACTATCCTCTTGCACTTGTATCTCACACAACTCTACGCGAGACCTATGCTCCTTCCTAAGATCGGTGATATACGCCTCTCCCGTGCTCAGAAGCGCTAATATAATGTTGCTACATGACTGATTTAAACTCAGAATCCGCTGAGAACCAGTGAAACATACCTATTTCTCGGATGAAATGATGCCGAAACAACAGGTGCGTCAAACCGCACGGTGGAGTATCGCTGAGGGGGATCGCATTCGGAAGCCAGATCCCAAATAATCACGTTCCAGTCCTTCGAGGATGTTAAGACAAATCGCGAGTTTCTTGACCAACTACTTTCACCATCAGTGCCACGCCTCAAGCCTTCACGCAACATCCAACACTCACTCAACACTCGTCACGGACTTGACGTGGCCATTTAAACACCGGACGGGAGACCTGGTTTCCAGATCCCAAATATCTGTAGACCCATCGAGCTTCGCAGCTGCGATGAATCTGCCAGTTGGATCAAATCGAGAGAAAACGGCAAGGGCAAATAGTGATGTTTGAACGGCACTCGGATGGGTGATACTGAACGGATCTAACGCATTCTCGCTGGTCAAATCCACAGAGTGCAAGAATCCTTGCACTTACTGATTAAAGACTCATTCATGCTCAGAGTGTGAGAGGAAGTGCGGAATTGCTATTTATGGAAATTCCCATCACATTGTGATGCGGCACGCGGCGTCGGCGCCAATCCGCCCCATTGAAATACGGCGCCAAAGCACAAATGCCACCATCACTCTCTGAAACACTATTGAAATTCACTATATCTGCCACAACTTCAGCAACTTCAGATGAAAATCATTGTATTTCATTAAACAATAATTGTCTGTCAGACTGAATAAGCCCTTTTCTGCATCTTCAGGCCTCTTACCCATTCTTCTAAAAAATTATGATATGAACTCCTTGCTATTGTTTCCTGGCCCTCTGATGTCTATGTTTCTGACTGATATATCCTTATCTTGTATTTGCTCTTGTTTTGAACACTGTGTGGGAACACATGTGTGATTTCAAGCTCCACTAAGCTATAATTAAGGCAACTCTTTCTTCTTCTTTCCCTCCACCATTGTTTACACTAATCACCCTTGTTCTTCCCCTGCCTTTGTATCAGGTAGGTCTAGATACAACAGTCATTTATCATGATCATGATGCTGACTAATGCTAGCTGCCTTGGCTGTGCATCAAGCCACTTTAACATTTTATTCCATTTTTGGTAAATCTTCCTTTGGCTCACTATTCATGCTGCACATTTGACAATAAGAGCACAGCCATTTGATTTTATTTCTTGTCTGTGTAGTTATTCCACTTGTCAATGCCAACTTCCTGACTACTAGTATAGGTTCTCCACTATGCCAACACTGGAAAGTGTGGACATTCAATCAAACCGCCAATGGTCAGAAGATCAGAATTGTGAGTGTGATTCAACTTTCATTCATAATTTTTGAATAAGGTAAATGTGTCTTCCTATTCAGTCATGCGTTTGAGCCAAGATACCTCTTGGTTGTCCCCCAAAAAGGCTACAATGCAAGAGATGGATCCACTTCAGAGTGGATTGACATTTGATATCCAGACATCTCCAATATCCATTCTTGTGCAGCCAATTGGATCGTCACTCCACACTCAACTTATCCCTCCCCGTAAATCAGAATCTCCAACACGCACCACTAATCAAAATGCAAAGCATGACAACGTACCTCGTGCCAATAGCGAGTTGTCGGCAAACGGTCCACGGAAACCCTTGTCAATTCTGTCCATGCCTTCAACTGCGACTCAAGATGCATTGGAGTCCGCTGCGTCAATGCATGAATCAAATAATGATTCCCAACAATTGGTAGACGACTTAGACAGTTTGCCAACGCCGGTAATGCCGAACGTCCCCATCCCCGCATCTCCCAAAGTAAACGGCGGGCTGTCTATTGAGCCGACCGATATGTTGCAGGTTACATCGTCGGCATCAGACAGCCTACAGATGAGCCATTATATTCAAAGCGATGTGGATGGAGGCCCATCTTCAGTGCGTTAATCTCATTTGTATACGCATTTATTGACGCCTCGGTATAGAGCATTCTCGCGGAACCGAGAACATCTTCCAAATCGGCTCAAAATACAACGGCAGAGGCTGCGACTTTAGCATTGAATGCTGCATTCCAGTCACAAAGTGTTGCGGGACCCCAAGTACAACGTACAACTAGTAGTTTCTTTTCCAAGTTTCGACTGAACAGTTTCCAACATTCTTT